GTTTGATTCATCCTTACTTTATTAAAATTAATTCGAATAGTATTAATCAAACTCAAAATAAGGCTTTGAAGAATTCTGTTATATTTTAAGTAAGTATTTTGTGAGTGATCGACAAGAATTCGTTGTTTTAAATAAATATTTCGATTGTAAAAATGCTAGATTAATCTGCAAAGATCAGAAGTATTCGAAAAAATAGAATTTGAAAATAAATATAGTGTCATAATTGAAACCTATTTTTAAGGTGCCAATTATGTTTTGCGCTCATAATTGGTGGCTGAAGAAAAATACTTCATTATAAATATAAATATATATTTGCTCGCATATAAAATTAAAAGCATGCAAGGAAACACTCCATGCAAACGAAAAATATAGACATTAAAATAGTTATTATATTTATAAGATAAAATTGTTAACTAGTTGAATTGTAGAAACTATAGAAAAAAAGCGGTAATCATAAATATTAGCCAAGATATCATAAAAGGTAGACAATTACTTTTTGTCAAGCACATAGAAGTATGAGTACCTACTAATAAAGTAAATTCTAGTAAATTACAAAGAAAATGATTATTTGTTTTTTAGATATGTACATTGTATTATTATATATTGATAAATTTGTGTGAATTTCATTATTGCGAAAATAGTTTTGCTCACGTCGTTTGATTAATAGTTTTAGTACCTATCAGTAGTATATAAACTAACAATTATTGATTATAATTTAAATTTTCACCCCCACATTTCAATATCAACAATTATATAATTGATACTTGTTAGTTAAAGAGAAAGAGTGCATGCAAAAAGTCTATCAAAATTATGTTAAAACATTGACTCGTTAAAATAAGGCAACCAGGACCGAATTACGCAATATGGAAAACAAAAACGTTTTCGGAGTTTTCATATTTATATAAATATTCATGTATTTATATATAAAATTCGTTGTTTTTTTTTTGTAAATATAAGGTTATATGAAACTCTAGGGTATTTAGGATTTTTTTAATAGAAAACTAAATTTGATTACTAAAAAAAGTCTATGTATGTTGCATACGTTTTGCGTCTCAATTTCACCCTGCATTATAAAATAATTCAAAAATAAAAAAAATATACTAACGAAACAATAGTTGAAATAAATATTGAGTTTAGCATTATTGCTCGGCATATTCAATTATTTTTTCACCTCTGTAATCATTATCTTATTTAATAACTACATTAGACGTGATTATAACAAGTAAATAAGATGATAATATATAAATAAAAACTATTAAAATTTAAACATGCGTATCAATAATATTTTATTTTAATTATAAGTTTTGCAAGTGTATTTTTTAAAAACTAATTGTGTGCAATAAAATTTTTGAAATTTTAATTGTAACTTCAATAGCCGCGAAATCTCACAAAGGGTTTGGCACAATTTGGAGTCAAAATAGGGTGTTCTTTTATATAATGTGCGCTTTGAATAATCAATTTAAATGATAGTCAAAATATAAAAAAAAATCTGATGTTGATTTCAGGTTAGTAGAACAACAAAATCACGTCTACTATGATAAAACAAATAAATATTTATCGGCGAGCATTTTCTTTAGAGCACGTCCCAGATTCTTCATTTATTAATGCTTAATAATTGACTTTCCAAAAAAGTATTAATTATTTTATAAAAAAACAACTTCTATAACTTGATAATACGCCTCAAAAAACAAACTCAAATCTACAAAGAATGAAGCCGTCCTCCAGCCTGCGCCTTATTTTTAGTTAATTCGGCCCTGGAAATCTTATCCGCACTGTTAACACCAAAAATTTTTCTTTAAAAACTCGATATGTCCTCTTATAAAATAGAAGAAGAAAATTAGTTTTCAAAAACATGCTTTGAAAAATTCAAATCACCCCATGCACATAAATACAATTCTAAACTTACATATGTAATTACAATATGAAGGCATTATCTACATCGTATACCACTACTAGCGATTTAGGCAGATTTTGACTAGATCAGTTTGATAATTTGGATTGTGTATATGTATGTGAGTGTATGTTTGGTCTATATACAAGTGATAAGTATATAATTGTGTTCAATGTACTATAATTGCTATTTGTAGGCCGAACCAAACCGCAAGTACGACCAAAAGTGCTCCATATCCACTGCAAAATATAATCAATGCACGTTCTTATTAAATACAAATAGCTTCACGATTAATTCAGTAGTAATGATGCCGATCAAATGCATATAAATACATATCTGTAACTTGTATCGAATATATAGAAAATTGAAAGTGGCCCAAAGATAATTAAAAACATATAATATGAACTGATAGTGTTCGCAAAATTCATTTTTGTCGCAAAATTACAAAAGGTTAATGAAACTAGTTATGCATCTAACATCTCTGAATCAAGCGTTATGCCAATCACAATTAATAACAATTTAGATTTTACATTGCTTCAAATGATAAATTAAATGCAAAAAATCGCGTTTGATTCAAACGACAATTGTTCGAATTTGGTTAATACTTTTTCTTGATTAAAAAATAATTCAAATTCTATTAATCGATTTTTTATCGTTTAAATAAGATATTTCTAATAATACATTTATCGGTAAAAATACGAAAATATTATTATTTCTGATAGAAATTCGTTATATAAACATTTCAATGAGTACGTAATTAATAAAAAATTAAATGAACTCTTAGGGTGCGTTCGACTTGGACGCTTACGCGCTGTGAGCGCTCACGCTTATAAGCACGAATTTTTAGCGTTCGACTTGGCCGATAAGCGCTCAGAATCGATAACTAAATTCCGTTCGTTTTGGAAACTGTGAGCGTCAATAAGCATCAAAATGGCGGCAACTGGCGGTAACGGTAATTGTGTAAATTTTATTACTTTCTGGATCATTCAGCGGGATTATAAACAATTTAACAATTAATAAATAAATGAAATTTGGTTTGCTTATGCTTAATTCATATTAATATGAAATTAAAATTTAAAATTATTTAAAATTAATTAAATTTAAAATTAATTAATATTAATATTAATATTAAAAAATAAATGTGATATACAACTTGGCATTTTTGCGGGATTATAAAAATTTAACAATTAATGAATAAATGAAATTTGGTTAGCTTTGCTTAAGTAATAGTAATATTAAAATTGAAATTTAAAATTATTTAAAATTAATTAAATTTAAAATTAATTAATATCAATATTAATATTAAAAAATAATTGTGATCTACAGCTTGCCATTTTTGCGGAATTATAAAGAATTTGACAATTAATAAACAAATGAAATGACAGATAGTAAAAACAACTGACGCTCACGCTCACGCTGCCCTACCTCTGTGGCGTGAGCGTATGTGAGCGCAAAATATGTGCTACGAGCATCCTACGATGGTGCTACGAGCGTGCTTATGTGACACTCACAGCGCCAAGTCGAACGATGAAAGCGCGCTCACGGCGCGCTCACAGCGCGTAAGCGTCCAAGTCGAATGCACCCTTAAGCAAACACCCATGCTAACGCATTTAAGTTGTTTAGAAACAAAATAATAACAGTGAAAAAGCATCAAAAATATTATTGATCATGGAAATGGAACTGAATGATATTTTTAAATCAATTATTGATGGTGTGATAGGAATGCTGATAAAATTCTATGACAACGATTAAGCGATTTAACTATAATACTGCATATTGTTAGCAAACAAAAATAATTGAGCGAATTGATAAATGATTTTTAAGCACTCCTTCCCGCAGTGTCGGAGTTATTGTCCGTTGTGCACATTCTCCAAATCTTGACTTCTCCAGTGCTACAGAAAATTTAATAAAATAAATAAGTTTATTTGGAATATGTATATATATTAGGATATATATATATATATATATATATATATATATATATATCAAAATCATTTTTATTATTAACACATCCAGAATCTGAAGATTATATTTTTATCGTTTGCCCGTGAATTAGAACTTAAGTCAAAATGCTCAACATTCCCTCGTAGAAATAGAATTTTACAAATAATTTTTGTCCGTTCATAATACCAATCATTATTTAGTTCTTTGGGCAAAAAATATTTTTTAGAAAATTGAACTAAATAATTAGAATGCAAAATCACTGTAGGGTATATCCGGTATATCAAACATACGATAATCTAAAAACCTACAAGAACTTGGAAGGGAACACAACCACCATTCTAATCAAGATGCACACATTACAGATATCACTAATTAAATATAATTATTCCGAGCATCAGGAAAATATTCAAATTTATATAAATTTCAGAATTTTAGTAAGAGTAGAAATCGGAATAATTATCTTTTTGTTATCAAATTTTTCATTTATAAAATAAAAACATGCTATCGTCCAAAATCTACGTGCATGTTAGTTTATTCGGAGGTAATATATAATATATAGTTAGTTAATGTTATTTAACTAATTTTAAATTTAATGTTAGTTGACTAATGTTAACGTATTTTTAAACATTTATTATAAATTATATATTTGTGTATTATATATAGAATATATATTCTTGTAGAATTTTACATAAAACCGAAAAAAATAAAGAGTTATAAAATAGAGTAGCTGTTTTTTCAATGGTTGTTGTGATTGATTGCTTTAGTTTTTGAACAACCAATTGTAAAATACTTTATTGATAACTGTATATATTTATTTTATAAGTTGTAATAGTATTTACAATAATTTTAATATGTTTTTGATTACGTATTGATTGATTTGATTTTGGTTTGATTATCGATTGATGATTTTTTTGTTTTACATATCAATGTAACCGCATCCTTTGATATGGCGCCAACAGTAGCAATTTGATAAAATTCAAATTAATTAATTTTGAATTAAGTAAGGTTAGACATAAATCAAAATTGTTGACAAATAATATTATTTGTTAATTATTGATAATCATTATATCATATAGATTGAACAGTGTTTATATCAAATTCTTTTATAATTGCAATTATTAGTAACAGATCGAGAATATTAATAAGCCTTTGATGCCCATATTTGTTATCACAATTTACACATACACATACGCCAATCTGTCCAATCAATTTATATCTAAAATTTCCTAAATCCTACACCACACTCAAATCAAAGAATCTATAATATTAATTATACTTACTTGGAGGCCGTGAATATCCTGGTATTATTTGTAGTGACATCATTTATTGGACCAGAATCTGCACGCATTTCCGAGAGAGCTTCACAAGTTTTTGCATCCCACAATCTGATGACGCCGTCTCGGCAACTGGACAGAAGAACACCGTTGCTGTTCTTGGTTCCCGGACGACCTTTCCAATAAGCCAAACCGCTAACCCAGTTCTTGTGGACGTTATTTAAGGACTGTGAAGATAATTAAAAATGACAATGTTTGTAAAGGCAAGGGAGAAACTATGTTGTTTGGCAAATAATTGATCAAATCACAAAATTCATAATTACTTAGTTATGAGTAGCATTTTGCAGTAAGGTAAGTTGCATAAACTTCCTGATATGTATACACAATCAATAAGAATTGAGATTCAACTATTTTAGATAAAATATTCAACTGTTTATTTTGAAAACTAGCTGTAAGTGGAATTCTGTCTTAAGGCAATTAGGGCATCGTGCCTTAAAGCAAATTGTTGGAACTTCCCGTACCAAAAATTATTATTTTTTTAAAAACGATTAACATTTTTGAAAAAAATTTACTTCGAAAAAATTAGATTTTTGAAAAACTATAAATTTGACAAAAAATTACTTTTTTTTGAAAAAAAAAAATTATTTGAAAAAAAAATTTTTTTTGAAAACAAAAATTTTTTTTGAAAAAAAGATGTTTTCTTCATTTTGACATATTTTGGAAATTCTGAACTTTTTTTCAAAGCAATCGTACTGCTTGAACTGCATAGAGACGAAATGTCAAAGCGCGCAAGTGCCGCCGCCGTCTAACGAATAAGCATTGGTACGAAACCCATAGAAATGTAAAAAAAAATATAATTATTGTTAAAATCTCTATAAAATATCTGATAATTTGATGTGCATATGTCTAATGATCATTTTTAACCGCCGAATGGCATTTTTTTTACTTTTTTCATTAGATCTCCGAAATTAGATTTCATTAGATTATTCAAATCGGACGCTCCGTTCGCTTAAAAACTGAGTTACCGCTTTCGGCACTTTTTGCCCCGTATCTTCGGAACGGCTAGATCTGCCTTCGCCAAAAACTAATCAGCACGTCTCCTTATCAATACAAATCGAATGTTTTTTGAATTATTCAAATCGGTTGATCCGTGTTCCCGAAATCGTCGACGAAAATTTGTATCCGAACTTACATACATGCACGCACATACACACACACACACACACACATACATCCATTTTTTCTAAGGTACGCCAAAATTTTCAGAAACCTTTGAAACGTAAAGATATATAAAAATTTTCATTTTCGATTTTCAGTTGCGATTACTATAACTTGCCCTACGAGAAGTTAATAACATTTTTTTAGCTTTCATAAAAAATAATCAATACGATTTCCAATTGTCTTTCAAACAAATTCATAGTATGAAATATAATATAACAGCATAATGATTAATTATACCTGTAAGAAAAAGCAGTAAGTTAAATACCAAACTCTAATGAAATAAACAACTGGACTTAATCGTGGTTGATATACAATAAGAACAAAAACGAGTGGGGTGCATGGCATCGTGCCTTAAGGCAAATTGCTGGAACTTCCCGTACCGTAATTAAAAATCTTGGTACGGAACCCAAAAAAAATGCACAAAATGTGTACACATTATTAAAATCTCTATAAAATAACTGATAATTTGATGTACATATGTCCAAAAAACATTTTTGACCGACAAATGACATTTATTTGAACTTATTTTTATTGAGAGTCCATAACCGCTGGACCTGCCTTCCCAAAATCAGTTATTTCATCTTGTCAATACAAGTAAAATGTTTTTTGAATTATTAAAATCGGACGCTCCGTTCTCTTAAAAACTTAGTTACCGGTCGTGGCACTTTTTGCGGCTAGACCTGCCTTCGCCAAAAACTAATCAGCACGTCTTCTTACCAATACGAATCGAATGTTTTTTGAATTATTGAAATCTATTGATCGGTGTTCCCGAAATCATCGACGCAAATTTGCATCCGCACATACACACACACGTACATCCATTTTTTCTAAAATGTTCAAAAACCTTTAAATCGTAAAGATATATAAAAATTTTCGTTTTCGATTGTTTTGCGATTACTGTAACTTACCCTACGGGAAATTAATAATCTCTTAATTTTACAATTATATTCACAATTAAATGAAAATATAGATTTACCCATTACCTGATATAATTCGCCAGTTTTCAGATTCCAGTGTTTTAAACCAGCATCCCGAGAACCGGAAAATAATGAATTTTCTATTATGCATAGAGATTGAATACCGTCATAGTGAGGCGGTTCCAAATTCATGGACGGAGTTACTAAACCGCCTTGGGGTCCAATGTCAAACACTTTAATATAATGATCTTTTGAACCAGTTACTACGGTGTCGTTTCCTGCTTCATTTTCGGAAACAGCGATACACATCACAGCCGCTTGGTGACCGCCGGACAACTTTCCAATGCAAGACATCCTAAGAGGAAAATAAAATTATAGTAAATCATCATATTACAAGTATCATAATCAACATATATAATACAAGTTAAAATTATTTACTTTCTCAAATCCCATATTCTAACTTTATCCGATGCTGCTACGTATAATGAACCAGTATTTCCCAACGCCAAAGCATTTATAGGTACCTCGCCGGGTATTTGCTGGGTTAAATTGGCAGTTCCGCTCAAAGTGGCTCCAGATGAACTGAAAAATACCAAACGTAATGATTATATACTTATAAGGCAACAGTAAATTCAACAATTATAATTTTATGGTAGCCTTAAATATCTCATAATCAAGTTATTATATCAATGTACGTTTTCATTTTTGGTGCTATAAATATAAAATAAACTGCATCTACCATAGTGTCTTGATTGGCCTCAATTTAGTAGCTCGTAAATCCCAAACGCGAACATATGGGCCTGAAGCCGAATATAATAAACCTGATGGTGGATCATATGCAACATCTACTACTGGTCCAGGATGACCACTTAAACATAAAGGAGATGCGCCTGTTTGAAGATCCCACACCTTTACCGTGCGGTCTGAAAAAAGAATCAAATTTAAAGAAAATAAATTAGAAATCAGATTTAAGATTATAAAATCACATCATTTAATGATATCAATCAGGAGACAAATAATAATGAAATAATAAAATTAAAATAAAAGAATAACCTTGAAAAAAAAGAAAAATCTAGATATCAGTTGGGTGATGAAAAACAGTAATTAACAAGATACTAGATCGATAAAAGTATAAATTTATCGAATTCCTCTATATATAACCAGTTAAGGCTTAAGGGGCACAACTAGTGTAACTGCCTGAAAAAGGTGAATTTTGGGAATTTATATTAAAAAAACTACGTTATCAATCATTTCATAATTTTAGGAATGTATTTATACATGTTTTAGGAATACATAGTAAAATTTTTAAAGAAAAATATTAAATATTTTTTAAGTTATCGTCGATCTCCAACGGCGCGACAAAAAAAAGGCCCTTAACTGCTGCAGTGATTCCGGCCTTCTACGTGAATGAAATAAAAAAAAAATAATTCTCGTAAAACTAGATAATATTGTCTGTAAAATGAACTACGATAAAAAAATAAATCAAAAATTGACAAAATGGCGGCGTTTTAAAAAAAAGTCGAATTTTACCCAAAATTTTGGTCGTTTTTCGACTGCCAAAATTCGATTTTTGATCCGATCAAAAAATCGATAGCATTTTACGGAGAACTATATAAAGAACATGTAAAAAAAAATTAATAGTGATCGGATCATTCGTTTTTGAGTAATCACTGCAGCAAATTCGGAAAATGCTGTTTCGAGAAAAACGCGTTTAAAGATAGATCGTTGTACTATATACTATATATATATATACTTTTTAAATGGCTGTAACTCAAAAACTATTTGAGATATCGATTTGAAATTTTAATATGTTATTTTTAAAGTTGTCTACCGAAATATGATAAAAAACAAAAATTGATTTTTTCGAAATTTCACACTAGTTGTGCCCCTTAATTCTTAAGACGTTGCTTAACCTTCTTTATAAAATTAATATAACATCAGGAAGTACTTTCGGAATCGCAAAAATATAGTAGTAATCCTTAAAAAACAAATCTATATGCTACATATTTATCTTTAAGTTATTAAATATTAAATAAGACCAATCTAAAATAAATGTCATAACTAACTGTTAGCTATATATCAGAAGATCGAAAAACCAAAGAATAAAACTGGTATACGAAAAAATGCTATTTATATACAAAACTAGTATTTGTCACGAGTTTGTGCGAATAAATAAAATATAAAAGTTTCTTGTCATATGACAAATGCGACATATCTTGAATCATTACGATAATTGTATATTTATTATCAATCAAACGTCTAGTAAAAGCAAAACATTCAAACAAACCTGAAGCTGCTGTGAATAATTTATCCGCTGATGCCTTGACTGACAGAACAGGAGTATTGTGACCATCAACAATATGAGTGCAATGTAGAGGACTTTTCCCAGAAATCTGAAACGAATATATTGATTTGTAGTATCATAATTGTAAATGACAAGTTCCAATATTGAACTTGAGATTAAAATTATTATATTCTTACTATGAATTTAATATATTACCTTTCCAGTGTATTCATTAATGCTTCCTGATGTCTGAACTTCACTGAGTGAGCCGCCAGGGCCCGCTAACCTTGAAAAAACATCCTCTTCGCGACTGTTGAACCTTCTGTACGCGGGCGGAGAACCAGGAGGAGTTGCAGTCGCGTCTCCGTCTCTGAATTGTCGGTGTTAGTGTGTTAGTGGCAATGATTTTTGTTAGTTCATCGAAAAATGGTAGCAAAAAAAAAAAACAAAACTAAAATTCATGACAATTTTGGTCTTATTACTATTGTAATAAGACACTATTTTTGCATTGCACTTAAATTGCATTGAAATTTATAAATAAAGCTTGTGGATCTATGGTTTATGTCTGACATAGATCCAAGGTTTTATGTAAACGGAATAAAATTGCAAAATGCTATACATAGCGTAATATATCATGAACAGCGAACGAGAATATCTCGTTCAATGAATCAAAACGTATTTTCTTATAAATAATTATAAATAATGTTTTTCACATAATCCGTTAATGGGTTTCCTGAAAATAACTTCAAAGTTTTTATCCATGAAAAATAATCGTTCTTCGTTTAGGACACATTTTAGATAAAATTGCTTAAAATAAGTCTGTTAGTCGTCGAATGCTTGTTAAAATTTTAAACTAATGTTGAAAAACTTGTTAATGATTAAACTAATTGTCAAATTATTATGATTAAGACACCAACTAAATATAACATGTAACATGAACCCAAATAAAATATTCAACTGATACCACTGTGAACGGCAAGTTGATTTAATATGCGCAACTGCATGCATGCTAAAAATTTAATGTATGAAAGGTAAGTGAACACCCATTCCAATAATATGAGAGAAAAACAAACTAAAAGTTAAATAATAACTTGATTGTGCATTTTATTATAAATAAAAATAATATAATTATAGGTTATCAATAATTATAATGACTAACAATTAATTCATTTCACGTTCAGATAATATTTATTCAGATAAGTATCTGGCTTTTATAAACTTTGTGGCCCTCCACATATATTTGAATATATAAAAGTATAAAAATAATGTCCGAAATAAGTAACGATTTAAAAACAAATGATGGGGAATGAAAGATTTTTTAGTACGCGAATGAAGTATATTATTTACAAATCATATTAAAAAAATCATTTCAGATTCTTAAAGATTCAGAGATAAAAATTTTTATTTGCTGAAGTTTTTGAAAAGTATGTAATACATTCTCGTCTGAAAATCTCAAACTATTATGTAAAAATACGAATGTTTAAAAGCAATACTAAACGTCAATTACAGTCCGTTAGTAAAAATCGCATCCAACCTTTAAGCCAATACGTACATTTGTTGTAACTAAAGTATGCCAAAATGATTAGAAAAAATTGAAACGTGAAGATAAAAAAAACTATTTAAAACTTTTGGAAGTTCTTTTCCTCTTATCTTATACTAAAAAATCGCCCAAAACCCACCACTTGCAGTGTACCAATCTGATATCAAGATATTCAAAATGTTACCTTAATTAAATTACGAATTATAATTCAATTTTTTTTTTCAAATTTCAACTTAAAATTCTTCATACTTTGATATATTTTATTATTAATAGTTTATTAATCAGCTTTAGATTAAAATCTTAAGTATCATATTTCCTTACAATTAATATACTTATATTCATGCTAGTAAGCGTGAATACCCGTGTTAGCATTAAACTTGAACATAACATAAATAATATAATATTATTAACTTCTCTGTGCATTTAACTACTTTGAGCCACTGAAATAGAAAAAAAAAGGAAAAAAATATTTTTAATCTTTTATCACAAACTAAGTTTACTCACACAAAATCAGTTCCATAAACAAGAAGCTCGTCAAGCTACCACAGTCGAAATAATCGACTATTATATTATTTTATTATAATTAACAGTTAAAAATCTAATAAATTTATTAAATATTAATCACTCATTTAATAATCTAAATATTATTTACAACAACACTAATATTACCGGTTAAATAAGGAATTTATATATTATACAAAAGCAATATTATGATATATATTATTACACATATATACAGAATTAGTTTTTGGAATAGATAAATAATAAAATAAATTAGTTTAATTATTTATTAAAAGCTTGTTTAATTTTTAACGATCATGAAAAATAACACAAAAACAAAGCTTCTTAGGACACGTACATGTTAAGGTTAAGTTTATTGGATAAAATTAATTTTTTGCATGTCCTTTCGCCAATAGATTTAAAAATAATATTATTCGTGTGTATCTAATTTTTAAAGAAATAATTTAGTTATATGTCTATTCTCTAATAAAAATCCATATTTCATTTTAGATAAAGTAACTGAGACGTTAGTTTTATCCATCAATTCACAAGAACAAAAGCATCTAATGTGGAATGATACAGTCTTACATGATATCTCATTCCAAAAACTTTTTGCGCTTAATTTAGGGCCACAGATGGACAAACAAAAGAAGGGTAAAGTTTGTTTTTCGAAGAAGTACTCACATGGCTGGTGCTGGTTTGCTACCCGGTGTTGTAGAACCAAATGACCTTCTGGTCAACCTAGGCGACAGAAGACCATTTGGAGAGTCAATATTTCTTCTAGCTAGTAATGGAGATGGTCTACCTTGGTCTAGTTGGCGTAAGGGCATCAGACCCCTAATATTGTGGAAAAAATATTGTGCGAACATAAAACATAAATGTGCAAAAGCTCTTATAAGATAATTCGAAATATGCATTATTACTACTTAAGGAATTGGAATTTTTTCGTTGATTCATAATTACATTTTCGTTGTTGTTCTTTTCAATATAAGCCAATTAGGTTTTAATTTTTTTTATTTAGATGATTTAACATCAACGATTTTTGGATCATTTACCGTCGACGAAAGGTAACAATTCGGCTACAATACATACACACACACACAAATACTTTTTCCCAGGTTTGGTTTCATTCGATTCAAAATAATTGAACGTCGAAAAACATACTATTAACAAATTGGATTTTCTGACCAAATTTGAAAAAAATAACCGCTTCTTATAATTACTATTATTAAAATATTATTTTAATTATTATAACATAAATATAGCTTCAGAATCCAATTCTGTATTTCATATTTGATTTAAAACTGACTCGAACTAAACTATTAATAAAACTGGTATGAATTTTAAATATATAATGAATGTCATTAATGCACACTTCATATAATAAGATTTTAATACAATTGCATTTAGTAACACAAGTTGGAAATGCATTATATGATATGAACAATCTAAACAATCTACAAAGATTATGACTTTATTTGGACAATGATATACTGTGCGCATGAAAAACATTCTAAATCAACACTATTTTTGCAACAAAAATTGACATAATAATCCAAATAGGCCGTAAAATCAACAAATTGATATCATGTGCATATACCCTACATGCCAAGTGCGTGTTCAACACATATAAATAGTTTTCTATAGCAATATTTTATGACATAAATATGGTGATGGTGCAAATTCACACGAACTCACGTTAGAGGTTCAAAACAAATGTGATATAAATGGCAATATTTTAATTTTTTTTTCAATTTCTATATTAAATACTTCCGTTTTAATCATGACTCTATAAAGAACAGAAGAAGCATCACAAAAATATTTTCTTTTGCATAATATCTACGTAGCGATAAAGGACGCAAAATAAGAAACCCACAACAGTTTTATTACTTAAAATACAACTATCGATCATTATAATTTAAAATCAAATATCACATCCACACATCCACGTTTTTTAAAAAAACTCAGTTATTATTAATTGCAAATATAAATCATTTACATTTGATTCGAGAAGTCGTTTTAAATAAATATTATAAATGATAATTAGAGATTGATTTAGTAGTTACACTCAAGCTAAATAGAACAATTATGATATTCGTACTTAACAATTTATGTAAAATGTCATGAAATATAAAAATTGACATATAATATGAAACATAAATTAAAAATGTATACATAAAATCACTTACTTCAGTGAGCCTGGTGCACTAGGAACTCTGGCGAGCGGTTGACCTCTATGAGCATTTCCGTTGGTAATGGTTTGCTGATCCTGGTGATACGACCTGGTCATAGCATCACCATTTTGTACACTTCCGTTCTCTTTAGAATGACCATTTTCTTTGCTGTGATCATCTGTGGATCCGTTCACAGTCGACGTTCCATATAACAATTCGGAAGGAAGAACTGTCCGACGACGTACTTTATTCACAGATGATGTTCGAGTACTGAACAAATAAGTAAAAATAATACGTATTACTTGAAAGTTTTTTTTTTGTAATTACATTTATGTAAGATTTTGTAATAAGGAAGTCTTACTTGTCTCCATGAGTGGGTGATGGCGATCTGCTGCTGCCTCTAGAACTATTTGGGGATTCTGAATTTTTTCCATTGCTGCAAGTGCTAGCAGATAAAGATCCCGGCACTTCAGGTGCTTGTAATAGCACATGTTCTAATAATTGTTGTTGTATTGTACTATCTTGTTGAACCTATAATTGAACAACCATAAATAAGTTATTAAATATTTCTAAACAATGCTTAAGAAGAAGGGCTTCGAATTACACAACATACACTTTATTTAATTAACATAAAAGTCTCTATAAATCGTATAGTTGCCATTTTATTTAAAATGGAATATGTCATTCGAATCAGATTACTACAAAAATATATTTCTATTTTAGTTTGATATCAATGAATGCAATAAAATTAATTTTAATAAAAAATTATAACAAATGTATTTATAAAATGTTGTAAATACATTAATTTATGATTTTTAAAAATGGTACATTAATCAATTATTTTAAAAAGCAAATTACGGTCAAATTTGTGCAGTTTTCATATAGACCCCAAATACTGAACATAACAGTATTTCAAAATTTATCGCCCTTCCATAATTCTGATCTGATTTTTTGCATATTTATGATAGACTTTATAATGACATTCATATTTGTTTGCAAAACCATAAACATAAATAAAATACAACATGAAAATCAAAGATAAACATGCGATTTCTGATACACTTTATTAAAATCAAATAAATGCCCAACAACAATGATCAAGATTTTAACCACAAACAAACTTTCTATTTTTTAGAAGTAGTCCATATCAATAGGCTCATAGTTACAAACGGTTCTCATAGCATGCAGACTTTGCGACTTTGGTGTAGCGGATAATTCTTTAAAAGTAGTCATTTTTCGCTTAGAAACCGGTTCGTAAATTTGCTTCTCTTGCGAATAAAGTAATTCAATGTCCGCTTCTGATATTTCTCTCATCTAGACAAGGATTGAGGATAAAGGATTAGGATAGGAAAAGGGACAGTTTTTGTATAGATATTCGATAGTATTTCTATAAATATAACGTAATATTCAAGATTACGTTATGACAGGATTCCTGCATTGACAAATATTAGAAAAAACAATATATTAGAAAAACAAATCTTCGATATATGCGACAAGTCTCTAGATTTTTTGTTTGTTACAGCAGCAATCAGAACTATTCCTAACTACTTGTCCTATAATCTGTTTGTTGAAGACTTAACCTATTGATTCAGGTTTTTGGTTAACCATTCTTCTATGTGCGGCGATTATATTAGATACATATCAAATAGTTATGAGTATACTATAGAGCTGCAACAGCTATACCCATAAAAGGCGAGTGGCAAATTTGAGATGTTATTTGAATTTTGAGTGTTTCAAGTGGAAATACTGTATGATATCAAGGTAACTAAGTCTCTAGACAAAATTAATTATTATGAGTTGAGTATCGAAATTAAAACCAAATTATAAATTGTTTCTAACAAAAAAAAAACTTTTTGTAGACAAATATATAACGTTTTTGTTAGATAATTTACATACTATTTTCACCTAAATAGAATAATTTCAATTATAAGTACTTAACAAAATTAATCAATCGTAAATATATATTTTTTAATTTACCTCTGTCAATAAAGCCTCTTTCTCCTTCAATTTATTTTCATTCATGGCGACATCACAGGCTTGGCTGATAGCTGTTCCACAAAGCTTTTCCAACAAGAATCTCGCTTCTTCTACAGTGGATATATTACCGATGATCGTTTGAAGAGGAGTAAGTTCATTATTTTCTTCCTAAAAATATAAAAAATCATATTTAAGAATAGGATTATCGGTCGAAAACACATTCGCCTACGGTAATTTCACAAATTCGTCTCTAAAAATCCATCATAACCAATAGTTGATAATCTTACTAACTCACCAGTACAAACTATTTGAGGAGTTATTTCACTCAACTCAATTGTTAAAAATAGCAGATATATTAAAACAAAGTAAAAGACGTACGCATACTGGTATTAAAAATGGTTTGTACTCTAAAATAAGCTATTGATGTAAAAGCCAATTAAAGGATTTGCAGATTATATAGAATACACATATGAGTAAATAAATTCTGTTGCTTCTGTTGGAACAATCATATGCTTCCATGCTACGCAAATAAGATTTTCATAACCTAACTATTTATACAATATTGATTTTTGAGATAAGCAAAAATGATTTAAAAATTTTTATATTTTGATTACATATAGATAATTATATGTAATATGCATAAAAATTATATAGGCAAAGTCAATTCCACTAGACAAAAAACATTACAAACAAGAGTTTACGTTAGCTGTCGAATTCAAAACAGCCTCACATCGACTTAACCTAAGATCCTTAATGACTATCAAGCAAAGTATTGCGCAAAGTGGCAAATAAGTTCAACCAACCTTTCCTTCTTCTAATTCCATTATGGCATGTTGAACTTCTCCGATGCCATCTTGCAAGTACCTCAGATGAGTTTCAATGCTATCTCGTTCTTCAGCAGCAGACTCGTTCAAGCCTCTCGTCCTCTTAAGTCGTTCCAATTCGCGACCCAAGGCGTCCCTTTCGCCCAACAATCGCTCCAGCTCGCGTTCAAGCCCTGCAGCAGCTTGGCGACTGCGAGCGGTGCGTGCGATCGACCTTTGAAGGGATTCCCATTTCTGGCGGGCATCGCGGGCCGAAAAGACGTTTGCGGACATTGCTACTCCATTACGTTCTGAAAAAATATTACAAAAAAACATAATTTGTAGCCGTAAATAATTTAAAACATGGTATATTTACCATATCCATTTAAGTCTGTAATTATTAAAATCATAAAAAATGCAAAACCAACGTACAACTAGCTGTAAGTGGAATTCTGTCTTGAGGCAATTAAGGCATCGTGCCTTAAGGCAAATTGCTTGAACTTCCCGTACCAAAAATTATTATTTTTTTAAAAGCGATTAACATTTTTAAAAAAAAATTACTTCCAAAAAATTAGATTTTTGAGAAACAAAAAAAAATTGTTTGAAAAAAAAAGTTTTCTTTATTTTGGCATAGTTTGGAAATTCTAAACTTTTTAACTTCCCGTAGGGCAAGTTATAGTAATCGCAAAAAAATCGAAAATGAAAATTTTTATATATCTTTACGTTTCAGAGGTTTCTGAACATTTTGGCATACCTTAGAAAAAATGGATGTATGTGTGTGTGTGTGTGTGTGAGTGTATGTGTGTGTGTGTGTGTATGTATGTATGTATGTGTGTGTATGTATGTGCGGATACAAATTTTCGTCGACGATTTCGGGAACACGGATCAACCGATTTGAATAATTCAAAAAACATTCGATCCGTATTGATAAGGAGACGTGCTGATTAGTTTTTGGCAAAGGCAGGTCAAGCCGTTCCGAAGATACGGGGCAAAAAGTTTCGAAAACGGTAACTCAGTTTTTAAGAGAACGGAGCGTCCGATTTTAATAATTCAAAAAACATTTTATTTGTATTGACAAGATGAAGAATCGATACGACTTTCATGAAGGTAGGTCCAGCGGTTTCGGAGATATAGAAGAAAAAGTAAAAAAATGAGCCATTTGGCGGTCAAAAATGATCATTAGACATATGCACATCAAATTATCAGACATTTTATAGAGATTTTAACAATAAATATACATTTTGTTAACATTCCTATCGGTTCCGTACCAATGCTTATGCGTTAGACAGCGACGCGGCGCTTACGCGCTTTATATTTTGTCCCTATGTAGTTAAAGCAGTACGATCGCTTTGAAAAAAAAGTTCAGATCTTCCACAATATGTCAAAATAAAGAAAAAAAAAATTTTTTTCAAAAAAAAAAAAATTTTTAAAAAAAAAAATTTTTTTTAAAAATTTTTTTTTTCAAAAAAAACTAATTTTTTGTCCAATTTATAGTTTCTCAAAAATCTTATTTTTTCAAAGTAATTTTTTTTCAAAAATGTTAATCGTTTTAAAAAATAATAATAATTTTTGGTACGGGAAGTTCCAGCAATTTGCCTTAAGGCACGATGCCCTAATTGCCTTAAGACAGAATTCCACTTACAGCTAGTTTTCAAAGCAATCGTACTGCTTTAACTGCATAGAGACAAAATATAAAGGGCGTAAACGCCGCGTCGCTGTCTAACGGATAAACATTGGTACGGAACCCAAAGGAATGTGAACAAAATTTATACTTATTGTTAAAATCTCAATAAAATATCTGATAATTTGATGTGCATATGTCTAATGATCATTTTTGACCGCCAAATGGCATTTTTTTTACTTTTTTCGTTAGATCTCCGAAACCGCTAGACCTGCCATTATGAAGATTTGATCAATTCTTCATCTTGTCAATACAAGTAAAATGTTTTTTGAATTATTAAAATCGGACGCTCCGTTCTCTTAAAAACTGATGTACCGTTTTTGGCACTTTTTGCCCCATATCTTCGGAACGGCTAGACCTGCCTCCGCCAAAAACTAATCAGCACGTCTCCTTATCAATATGAATCGAATGTTTTTTGAATTATTCAAATTGCTTCATCCGTGTTTCCGAAATCGTCGACGAAAATTTGTATCCGCACACACATACATACACGCACACACACACATACACACACACACACATACATCCATTTTTTCTAAGGTATGCCAAAATATTCAGAAACCTCTGAAACGTAAAGATATATAAAAATTTTCATTTTCGATTTTTTTGCGATTGCTATAACTTACCCTACGGGAAGTTAAAAACATAATTTGTAGCCTTAAATAATTTAAAACATCGTATATTACATACATATTTACCATATCCATTTAAGTCTGTAATTATTAAAATAATAAAAATTGCATTTCGTAATAGAAAATCGAAATCATACAGAATCAACGTATAAATATATAATATTTCATAAATACTATTATGGACAACACTTACTTTTCGTAACAAAAATGTAAAAATTAAGAAATCCGGTAATTTAAAAATCTATTTCATTTGCACAGCAAATCCATATCTCCTTTTTGAGACAAATTTTTTAAAATATAACCATTTTGCAACAACTTTGATTTATGTCAAATTGTTAACGGACTACGTCAACGTATTAGAGATCCTACTTTTCTAGACATGGATTTTTATGTAGCAAAATAATGTGCTTTTCATTTATGTTACGGAACGTTGGTTTTCTTACAATTTATTCATAATGTATTTTGTTACTTACGATTATTTCGCGGGCTAGGAAGTAATCGTCCTTGGGCTTTACGACTCAAGTTGCCACCACGTTGCTCTCTCCTTAATGCGGTAACTTCCTCAGTTTTTCTCTTGAGAACTTGTTCTTTAGCTAAACGATCTGCTTGCAAAGAACGTATAGTATTTGCATTCTTTCTTGATTCTTTGCGAAGTTGAGCAATTTCGCGTACGCGTCTAGATTCTTCTTCCTTGTGCTTTTGATGAGCTTCTTTCATTTTATTGATCAATTTTACCTAGAAAATGTTACGATTGTAATTAGAATATACAGAAATAAGGCATGTCTATATATTTATTCATTAGGTTCTTGCATTCTCGTACAAATTTGAAATTTGAAACGAAATAAATATTTCGTACAAAGCCGAAAACCAATCACTTGCTTTCTGCGCTAAAAACCAACGAACAAATGAATTAAAGTAAAAAATAAATATTTTTGAATCACCCAAATACACACGCGCAGATATTAGTTCTAAGGTATGCCAAAATAATGAAATTATCTTGGAATACAAAGATATCAAAACAAAAAGGTTATGCGCTTTCAATAACATATTTTACGGAAGTTAATATGATCAATAGAAAGTATTAAAATTATATTTTATCTCATAGCTACATAGAAAAGTTTCAAGATTCATGAGCAATTTTGCATTTAATAATTAGACAATGTCCCAGTGATATAATATAATTTTTAACTTCCCGTAGGGTAAGTTATAGTAATCGCAAAAAAATCGAAAATGAAAATTTTTATATATCTTTACGTTTCAGAGGTTTCTGAACATTTTGGCATACCTTAGAAAAAATGGATGTATGTGTGTGTGTGTGTGTGTGTATGTGTGTGTGTGTGTGTGTGTGTGTATGTATGTATGTATGTGTGTGTATGTATGTGCGGATACAAATTTTCGTCGACGATTTCGGGAACACGGATCAACCGATTTGAATAAATCAAAAAACATTCGATTCGTATTGATAAGGAGACGTGCTGATTAGTTTTTGGCGAAGGCAGGTCTAGCCGTTCCGGAGATACGGGGCAAAAAGTGCCGAAAACGGTAACTCAGGTTTTAAGAGAACGGAGCGTCCGATTTTAATAATTCAAAAAACATTTTACTTGTATTGACAAGATAAAGAATTGATCAAATTTTCATAAAGGCAGGTCTAGCGGTTTCGGAGATCTAACGAAAAAAGTAAAAAAAAATGCCATTTGGCGGTCAAAAATGATCATTAGACATATGCACATCAAATTTTCAGATATTTTATAGAGATTTTAACAATAAGTTTAAATTTTGTTTATTTTTCTATGGGTTCCGTACCAATGTTTACCCGTTAGACAGCGACGCCGCGCTTACGCGCTTTATATTTTGTCTCTATGCAGTTAAAGCAGTACGATTGCTTTGAAAAACAAGTTCAGATCTTCCAAAATATGTCAAAATAAGAAAAATTTTTTTTCAAAAAAAAAAAAATAAAAAAAAAATTTTTTTTTAAAAAAAATTAAAAAAAAAAATTTTTTTTTTTTCAAAAAAAGTAATTTTTTGTCCAATTTATAGTTTCTCAAAAATCTTATTTTTTCGAAGTAAATTTTTTTCAAAAATGTTAATCGTTTTTAAAAAAAATAATAATTTTTGGTACGGGAAGTTCCAGCAATTTGCCTTAAGGCACGATGCCCTAATTGCCTTAAGACAGAATTCCACTTACAGCTAGTTTTTATGTATTTACCTTCGCCCTTTTCATTTCGTTAACTTCAGCGCGAATCGTACGTAACTGTACTTCACTTTGTGCTTGAGAACGTTGTAATCTGGCATGCTCCTTTTGTGCGTACTGGAGCCTCCGGAGCTCCCTTTGCATATCCGATAATTTTCGCTCATATTCTTCTTTAACTTTCTTTATCTTATCAGTTGGAGCAAAAGATTGACTTCCTAGAGTTTTTTTGAAATAAGAAAATCTATATAGACAATCACTTAAGACAAATATTTATTAAAATTTGATTACAGTTAATGTTATTGATGTACCTATAGTAGCCAACACTTGATCGCGTTCTTTCTGCGTGTCATTGATCTTGGCTGATAGCACAGCCAATTTATCTTCATAATGCTGTCTCATTGTGCAAAGACGTTGTTGTGAAACTTCAAGTTGTGCAATCAGTTTTTGTTTCATATCGATATCATGACTTAGTTCAGCCAATTCGGCGCCCATTTCTACTTCTGTAACAATATTAATATCATTGCAATTGAGAAAATTATACAAAAAATTAGAATCAAGTAAATTAACGTACAAGAAATGAATTAAAAAAAAAACAAATTTTCAAAGAAAGTATCTTTAAGGAAAAATATGAACAGTTATGCTTCCTCAGGGCAAGTTTAGTGCTAAAAATTAGGACGTTATCAAATATGGTTATAATTTTTACCATAGATATAATATATATATATATATATATATATATATATATCAAAAGTTTAACTAATTTATAGATTCTGTCCTTCGTACCTTTTTCATCGCTATCTTCATCAGACTCTTCCTCACTATCCGAAACAGAGTCGTTTGGTTGTGTTTCTGCATCATTAATTTCATTTTCCATTGCGTTATTAACCCCAACTAAAGATCTAGATAATAAAACTTCCCTCTCCCGTTCCAATTCACGTTTAGCTTCTTCGATTATACTATTTTCTTCATCATCCACTGCGAAAAAAGTAAATTATCAGATTTAGAATATAAATATGGATAAAAAACGCTGTTTATAAAAAGATCTATCGACTTGTTTACATTCATACGTTAATCAGTTTACTTACATATATATGTGCCCAGTCGATTTCGCGCTTTTTGCTGCTGTATACTTTGTTTCTTGAGCTGCTGGTACATGCTATCAGTTTCTAATAAACGAGCCCTTAATTCTTCGATTTCTTTTATGTAACCTCTCACCATTCCGCTCATTTCTACGTTATCTCCATCACCGCATCCTAAAATAATAAAATAATTTATAAAAGCTATATTTAACTTGATAAATGTCTTACAAAAAGAATGAAATTACCTCCTTGGCCCCACATAGCAGCAGCTCTTTCAGCAAGCAATTCTGTATTCCTTTCGGTAAGATTCGACACGGTTTCTTGAAGAGCGCGTAGCCTTTGTCTCAGTCTTTGCAATTCAGCGGACAGCAACGCGTTTTCATGGAATGTATCTGTTAAAGTGCCATTGCCTTCCGCATCTACTGTCCTTTTACCCTATTTAAAAAAAAACAATAATATATTAATATTTAAACGTGGAATATATAAAAATAACTCTCATAGACCAACTATCTTGGTCTCTGCCCACTGTTGGTTCAGAATAAATCTAGTATAGGATAGATATAAATTCTTATTATGCTTTATAAATTAATGAAATTATTTCTTTAGTTGTTATATAAACATCAGTTTCGTCAATTTAAAAAAATATATTTTCACCTGTTTGTATTCGAGAAGTTCCATTTGTAATTGAGCCAATTCGCGCCTTAGTTGCCCAATAGTTCTCGAACTTTGATCCTGGTTCAGCACGACGCGGTTCTTAATATTTCGCGCTCTATTCGCATATTTTAATGTGTTTAGTGTCTCCATAAAATCTCTATCGCTCGGCGATACGCAAGCTATCATTAATGTCTGACTATTGCCACCCAAAGAGTCCTAGAATAAAATAAATCACAGCACGTTGATCATAAACGCCTAACAAATGCTTATGAAGCGCACCCAAAACTAATGAAAATATTCCATTATTACCTGAAGTAACCTGGTCAATTTGGAATCCCTATATGGTACGTGTAAAGCTTTTTTAGATTTATCTCCCAAAGCCGAAATAACGTTTCCTAGTGCTAGTAAGCCGCAATTAATTGATATGCCTTCACGGGCCCTTTCTCCAGTGGCACCTGTACGCTTTAGTCGCTCCGACCCTGCTAAATCGACAAAGTGGAATTTCGCCGTCAGTGTTTGCAAATCGCCGTCTGGTGCCTCTGAATCCTGCCGTGCAACATAAAATAAAATATTAATTATTTTTTTCCAAATAATAGTTTATAAATAAATAAATAAATATTATTCAATAATTGTGTGCGGGTGACTTCAATATCCTTTAACAAAAGAGATCGATTAGTGATGTTTTCAAATTTTAGCAGGGAATCATTTGGATTATTTCCTACTATAAAGACCCTACAAGGATAACTATCTCCTCCTCATATTGTATTGATAATTTTTTCACAAATACTACGGTAAATTCCTGTGTAATTAACCGGACTTTCTGACCATTGGTGAAATTTGCTCTCCTTGCCTAATAGCTACTAAATTCACTTCCCACTTATATCGGTAATAAAAGAAAATTTAATTAAAAAATAAAGTACTTTTCAAGAGATACTACTAGAAAAAGAGACTTGGAATATGTTTGGATCACTCCAGTTATTTTTTACATTTGATACATTTTAAATTCTTTTTACATAATTTCAACACTGCTTTCCCTATATCAAAACATAGAAATTGAACCTTAATAAAACTCAAACGTGGTACTCTCAAGGCCTTGTATTTCATATAATAAATTATGATGCGTTTAGAAAGAGAATCCAACACATAATGTAATTTTGCTTTATGATTTGTTTTTTGAATATAGAGAAATATACTTGGCTTAATAAATCATGGCGTTGTTTTACTTAAATTAGTAAATCATGTTTAGAAAATACTAAGCAAATTATAATACACTAAATGAGTTCCTAATATAAATAGAAATTAATAAAATTACCTCGTCATTTATGACTCTCTGCTGTCGAATCAGTAGAGTGAACAAGGCGTGTGAACGGCTGCTCTGAGCGTTCATTTGAGTGGCTGGCGGTGGTTCGAGCCAATGCACCAGACTGAAGACATCTCAGAGCGTCCTGGGGTCCATTAATTGGTTTTAAAGTCGCTCCTGCCACAGAAATGCCACCAGAAATGTCTTCGTGAATTTGAATATTCGGCCCTGTTGAGTAAATTCTTGTTGAGAAATAGAGTCAACTAGAAGTCCACTAGAGACTTTGCATCGAAAGTTATTTTTGCATATATTATTGATAATAACGCATAATTTTTTCTTCGAAATTATTTATTATCACTTAATAGTAAAAGTTTTGATCAAATGCGTATCGTTCTACATATCTGACCAGTGAACCAAGCTCCAGTTATTTATTTTTCATGATCTATAGTACGACATGATTTAAATTTCGTGAACTTACCTTGCTATATGGATCTAGTAAATCGATGATTTCCTCGTTGTATAATTCCATAAATTGAGCGGCCACCGAGAATCTCGCATTTTCAGGTCCCGTTTGCAATTCCTCTATTCCGGCAAAAAGATGCCTGACCGCTCGAGTATAATGCCTTCAGCTTGTGGAGTAACATCACGTCGAATCCTGTGCCATGCTGTATGTTTTCCCAGAGCCCGTCTAAAAAGATAAAATGAACAGTTTTACTTATATCAAACAAATAAGTAAACTAACTGTAAGTGGAATTCTGTCTTAAGGTAATTAAGGCATCGTGCCTTAAGGCAAATTGCTGGAACTTCCCGTACTAAAAATTATTATTTTTTTAAAAACGATTTAACATTTTTGAAAAAATTTTACTTCGAAAAAATAAGATTTTTGAGAAACTATAAATTGGACAAAAAATTACTTTTTTTTGAAAAAAAAAAACATTTAAAAAAAAAATTAAAAAAAAAATTTTTTTTTTAATTTTTTTTTGAAAAAAAAAATTTTTTTTCTTTGTTTTGACATATTTTGGAAATCTGAACTTTTTTTCAAAGCAATCGTACTGCTTAACTGCATAGAGACAAAATATAAAGCGCGTAAGCGCCGCGTCGCTGTCTAACGGATAAACATTGGTACGGAACCCATAGGAATAAACAAAATTTATACTTATTGTTAAATCTCTATAAAATATCTGACAATTTGATGTGCATATGTCTAATGATCATTTTTGACCGCCAAATGGCTTTTTTTTTTACTTTTTTCGTTAGATCACCGAAACCGCTAGACCTGCCCTTATGAAAATTTGATTAAATCTTCATCTTGTCAATGCAAGTAAAATGTTTTTTGAATTATTAAAATCGGACGCTCCATTCTCTTAAAAACTGAGGTACCGTTTTTGGCACTTTTTGCCCCATATCTTCGGAACGGCTAGACCTGCCTTCGCCAAAAACTAATCAGCACGTCTCCTTATCAATACGATCGAATGTTTTTTGAATTATTCAAATTGCTTCATCCGTGTTCCCGAAATCGTCGAATAAAATTTGTATCCGCATACACATACATACACGCACACACACACACACACTCACACATACGTCATTTTTTCTAATGGTATGCCAAAATATTCAGAAACCTCTGAAACGTAAAGATATATAAAAATTTTCATTTTCGATTTTTTTGCGATTACTATACCTTACCCTACGGGAAGTTAATAACACAATATTAGTTCTTATTTAATACATATGTTTAAAAACCGATTTTATTTTGTAATAAAACTTCCGACACTATTTGTCCCAAAAAGTTTGATTTTAAGTTAACAAATTCCTGTTTAATCAAATAAATTAGCTTATTTCTTTCGCCGTCATAAAATTCATGTAAAACAAAGTAGCAAGAAATCAACTTCAGTATTTTATCAGTAGTAAGTATCTGCAACAATATTGATATCAAATTTTATTGCCTACCTGTCCATAAGCGAGCACAGTTGCATTGTACCCTTTGAGAGCGCCTTGGACCAGCCGCGATACACATGTATCGTAAATAGTAGCTTGCTGATCGTCCACGTCAAAAACATAATCGAATGTGAATGATTTATCTGAGCCCAGTGTCACCTGAGGCTCACCTGGTGTAACGGACGTGCAAACGCGGCACATGTCTATCACCTCCCGAGGAATCTGAGGCCTTATCCTGCAAAAATAGAAACGATCGATTATTAAATGAGTCTAACAGAATCAATACGTATCATACACATAATCAACAGATAATAATAAGATAATTTGTAAAAAAAACTTCTTTTTGAAGATGTCGATAAAAATAAAATAGATAAACTAGTGGGGCGCATGGCATCGTGCCTTAAGGCAAATTGCTCGAACTTCCCGTACCAAATTTTATTTTTTAAAAAACGATTTACATTTAAAAAAAAAATTACTTCGAAAAAATTAGATTTTTGAGAAACTATGAATTTTACAAAAAATCACTTTCAAAAAAAAAAATTTTTTTTTTTGGAAAAAAATGTTTTCTTTATTTTGACATATTGTGGAAATTCTGAACTTTTTTCAAAGCAATCGTACTGCTTTAACTGCATAGAGACAATATGTCAAAGCGCGTAAGCGCCGCGTCGCCGTCTATCGTTCACACACACATACACATACACACACACACACACATACATCAATTTTTTCTAAGGTATGCCAAAATATTCAGAAACCTTTGAAACGTAAAGATATATAAAAAAAATCATTTTCAATTTTTTTGCGATTACTATAACTTGCCCTACGGGAAGTTAATAATAAATCAATTACGGAGAAATTCTCACAACTTATCATTGTTCAGAAATTAATATAAATATCTTGAAATCGTGAGCAGATTATCTTACTTAAGTGATAATTTCCATGCTGAAAATAATAAAGCAATGATAAACTGTAATTGATGTTGACAAGTTTTCTATTCAATCATCTTTATCATATACTTTAAATAAATACCCAATGCAGTTCTAGTCAAATACGGAATCGATTTTAATAATTTTAGTATAAGGTTGTCAAATATCTCCCTTCCGCCTTTTTGTATTATAAACCAAGAGCAAAAAAGCGGAAGGGAGATATTTGACAACCTAATATTTATTATCGTAGTAGATACCTAGACCCATGAAAGCGTAAAGTGTTAATTAGAAAATTACCTATCTCATATTTTCAGGCCAAACTAATTAATTTCAGCATTTGTTCTAGGAAACAACTGTGACAGGGATTATAACAAATCAATAACCCATATTCCACAAAAAATGTTTATTATCATAATGTGACTATTCCCAATAATATGATATAAATAAATACAGTATTGCTGTCAGTTCAGCATGTTTAAATCATCACAGAAAATATAATATGCACATAAATTTGCATTTTTTACGCAAAAAGATATCATGGCAATAGTTCATTACGTTAAACAAACTAAAGTTTACGATTTTCTCACAATTATAGCAGCTCTTCTTGTTATGATACCAAAAGCAAATTCACATGAGATAATCTATGTGAAGAAGCAAATATAAAACTTTCTCTGTAAATCTTCAAACATAAAATATCTTGAATAAAAATTATAAAATTATGAAAACCATGATAAATAATTATACGGTAAAACAATAATAAATTCGAGTCAAACCAATGTACAATTTTAAATATTTATTGAAATATTGTTCGACAAGACTAGTAAGAGAAAATAAAATTGATTGAAATAAGCTTTCAAACAAACATAGCTCAGCACTGGATCTCAGTATAAATACTTATTACAACAAAGCGCCCTTTTGTAAAATGCATTTTGCTGGGTACAAAGTGTTTTTTCTAATAATTTATTTAATCTTATTTTAATCTTAAATATTTTAAATATTTTATATAGCCACCTCAAATTATTTTTAACGAAATGGCACTTTTAATTTAGGATTGCTTTATTTTTGGAAACACAATTAGAAGAGATCCTCGGAAAGATGGATTCCAGAACTGTTTAGAAAACTCCGAAAATTATGTAAGTTGATATTTTAATAAATTATAAACATTTGAGAAATCAAAATAGGTAAGAAAAGTTTTCACTAAGTATCAATGAAAATAGTAAACAATGCCAAATAGCTATAATCAACAATATACATTGTTAGTTAAAAAGGTAAGTATTATTCTTTTCGAAATGCATGTGTTAGGTACACTTATGATGAAGATAGTCCTGATGTTTGTGACTCACAACTGAGTAGGCACCCTACATGAAATTATATCTAGAACA